TTATAGAGTAGGCAAGGCGGGTTGTATGATGTGTGTGAGTTCCAGCACCTTTTTTTTTTTTTTGAAAAAAATCACTGAAAGTGATAATTATAATGTTAAGAGGACAACTCAAAGGATCTGGCTGGTTAAACTGCATAGCTGGATCCTGAGGCCGTAGTATTTGTATTAGTAACCTGAATGAGGACATGAAGAAAATAGAAGAAAGACATGAAGAAGACATGAATGAATGAAGACATGAAAAAATAAATTTGAAGATGGCAACATAATGTATTGGATTTATGAATGTTCTACACAGTTAAGGATGAACTTAATAGATTTGAGAAATGGGCTAAAAATAATGGAATTCCAATTTGTATTTCAGATTTTATCCTACGCTATTATTTATTTAACAATGATCTTTTAAGACACAATCCACTGGCCTCATAAATTCCAAGCCAGAACACTAGGATACACAAACCAAAGTACCAAAATTCATAACATGCTATGCCCAAATCGTATTATGGATAACTTTAAGTCAGGCCATATATAGAGCACCATGCATGTTAACTGAGGCCTTCAGAAAAATAAGCTCATGAGGTCAATTGAATGACTTGGTGTGCTCTGCCATTTTCCCTAATGATTCAAGAGGAAACATAGGAAGGTTTCAGCTTCTTTTTTCAAAGCAATAAACAAATGGACCTGAAATTGTTATAGTGAGCTAAGCTGGATTGTGGAGAGAAAAGAAAGATTAATCTGCTGGATCACTATGGTGTTTGCCAGTCAGGACAAAGCTAGGACCACCACGTTTATATTCTTACAATGTGCTTTAATTTAACCAGGGCGAAGATGGTGTGAAGGAAGTTCTTCAGATATTGAAAGAAGAGTTCAAATTAGCAATGGCGCTCTCTGGTAAGGTGCAGAGCATACAGAGAATCCTCCACTTACAACAGTTTGTTTAGTGATCCTTTGAAGTTACAAAGGCACTGAAACAGTGACTTATGACTCATCCTTACACTTGCAGTTATTGCAGCATTTCCATGGTCATGTGATTAGAATTTGGATATTTGGCAACCCGCATGTGTTTATGATGGTTGTAGCATCCCAGAGTCATGTGACTGCCATTTGCGGCCTTCCCAGCAAGCTTCCGAAAGGAAAGTCAAAGAGGGAAACCAGGTTCACTTAATGAAAATTGATTCACATAGCTTTGGGATTTGCTTAACAACCATGCCAAAAAGGTTGTAAAATTGAGTGCGACTCACTTAATGCCTTGTTTAGCAACAGAAATTTTGGTCCCAACCGTGGTCATAAGTCAAGGACTATCTGTACAGCGATTATTTTATTTACCCTTTATATGTTGATTACACTTGATCTTTTTTAAGTGCACTTATTTGAATCTTTTATACATCAATTATGAATGCTACTACTTAATTGTAGTCTTCCTATTTCTAAAAAGTTCATAATAAAAGTTAACAACTATTTTTAATGAAATTCTGTAGGGCCAAACTAAGCCTGACTATTAATGTAGGGTTAAACATGAGGGATTTCTAAAATTCAGATAGAATTAAAAGAGATAATGGTAACAGAGCTTATAAGAACAGGGATAAGAGAAGACAACATGCCATACAGTGTTCCCAAGGAAAGTTCTTTTGGATATAGTATTTTTTAATAGAAAATCCCACATCATCCCAACATCTTTGGAGTAATAGCACTCAGAAATAAAATTAATCTTATGTGGCATCTAAAAGATTCAAAACTATGATACAAAATGGAGCCCTTTAAGGAAGACTATTCCAAAGAGACAGCATTTGAGAGAAGGCATATTATTAGTTATTAGCCACTTATCCTTTCAAAGGAGAGCAGGAGATCCAATGATTTGAATAAATACATATAGAAAGCAAACAATTTCAAGACTATTATTGGAAATACTTGTTGGAGGCAATTATTCTGAATATAACTATTCATCTTTTTCTTGTCTAGGTTGTCCAAGTGTAGAAGCAATAGACAGAACATTGGTACGGAGAGTTCAGTGGGAAGCTTCCAAGATGTAGCTGCATGTGTTGTACGAACCTCAACTGGTTGCGTATTTGTTGTTACTTATCAAGAATTTGGAATTAAAAATAAATGAAAGCTTCCAGGACAAGTCTTAGTTGGAACTACCAAAGTTGTTTCTTCTGACAATATACTGAATATGTCAATCTCTTTTTAATGACTGGTGTAGTCTCTACTGCTATGTATCATAAGAATGACTTTTAGACATTTACAGTATGTGCTCTTAAAATCAGTGTTGAGTGGATTTCATTACTTTTGAAGAATGTTGCGCAGCCTCCAGTGACCTTGGATAGAATTTTATAACTTTCATTAATGACGAAAGTTGTAGGTTTTCTGATGGATTGAGAGTTACTAAATGGCAGCTATAACTATTACAACTATTAGTAATGGCGCTTTGAAGTTGTTGGCTCACATGATTAGGAGCAGTTGATCTCCAAATTAACAGTAAGCAGTTGTTTATATAGCACATAATATTAAAATAATATTTATAGTCTGAAATCCACAGAAGGCTTCTTAGTGATCCCAATACTGAATCAAACCCAAACTGTAGTTGCTAAACTTAGTGCCCTAGCATTATCTTTCCCCTTGTCAACTACAACGCAGGAAAGTAAAGCAATTTTTTTTTAGCCAGGGGACTGCTGAGGTTATGGAGAAAGAAAGCTGTGCCAAATGCCTTTTTACATGTGCACACACAGTTGCAAGGGGAAAATGTTTGCAGAGACCATTGGAATTACCTTCCACCTCAAATCTCCTCTAACATCAATGGCAAACATTAGATTATTGATGCAGCTTCCCAGGTTTTCAAATAACCACTTGAAGTGTACAGGTAGTGAGACAAACAGACCCAGTATGACCTCCTTTGCTGACATTTACAGGGCAGCCAGAGCCTGTTGGGACCGATACTGCTCCCCACAGCATCCTTAACTTAGAGCAGTCAGACATGCACGTACATGGTTACTGAGGCTAGCTTTATTATTTTTCCTTGAAGAATGTTTACGTTTCTCCAACAAAAATTGTGGGGTTTTTTTTCCAAGTAGGTGTGTTGAGTCATCAAACTAGCAATAGCACACTCAATTTTATTCCGCTAATTATAATAGTGGTGTGACCTACAAAGCATAACATTAAGTTTAAATGCAAAATAAGTAGACTGATCAACCTTTTGGGTTGGTCTGGAAGTGGGAAGGAAGCAAGGAACGATGGGAGAAAAACAGCCCTTGATCAACTTTAGCACATACAGTTTTAGGAAAGAAAACATATTCCAATTTTCGGCAAGTAACCAATGTGATTTTCTAGTGTCTTTTTTTTTTGAAGAAGCATTAATAATATACTTATTGTAAAAACATTCTGGACCTGGTTTTCAGAAATGGTATCGATTAGCTCCTAATATGTGTCTTATCTAAAGGCTTAGATCAGTTCAGAAGTTCTGATTGAGAGCAAATTGTTTTCCATCAACAGTTTAGCACCATGCTTCATGATGAAAGGTGTTGTAGCGAAACCAAAATTCAGTTTGGTAATGGAGCCTATAGAAAGTAAAACTTGGAAGCAATTCTAGAGGTCATCTAGTAAAGTGTTATGAGGAATTCTGGGAGTTGAAGTTCACATGTCACAAAGTGGTCAAATTTGAAAAGCACTGAACTTTTCCAATCCTGTGCACAGAATTTAGGAATTCTGTGCCAGTTTCGATCTGTCCACCCAACCTATCTCACAGGATGGTGGGTAGAGATAAAAATGAGGGGAAAAACACCTGTACATATAAAAACAGGATCACCAACATGATCGCCAACGTCCGATAACGGATATGGCACAAGAAGAAGACATCATATTCATCTCTTCTCCAAAAACAATTATATAAATGTAATGTCTGACTTGGTTGCAAATAAATGCAAGTAGCTATCTGATAAATAATATTTAATTCAGGGCAAGGGCATCACATAAAAATATTTAAAAAAATTTAAAAAACAGAAGAAGATCTCAGGTGATTTGCTAAGATGCATTAAGATTCCTGAAGCTACTTCAGTATATCCAAACTGATTCTGAGAGCATCAATCACAATTCTTAAGCAACATAAATATGTAATCAGATTCCTAACATCTCCTTACATCTGATGTATTACAGCCATTTTAAGTGAGGCAATTAATTATAAGAAACTGACTTGGATGAAAAACTGGATAAGCCATTACTCATCTTATAGGATTTGTGGCCATTGAAATGCCATTGAAATTCTATCAGGTTGTATAGTTAATAATATACTTTCTTATAATTTCAGTTTGGCTAACCCAAGATAATCAGCCGCTGTCATGTGGGGAAAATGCTGTTCTCCCTGTAACTCCATGTACTGAACTATAATCCCCCCCCCTTCCTCCAGTTGAATTCCAGTGTCAGGGTATCATACATAAGCAAGAGCTAGGAATCTTAGCTAGTGGGAGAAGGGCTAGCAAGCACTGAACTGTAAATTTACATAAATATGTAAAATTTAATAATGAAAAATATGAAGCTTCATCATTTCCAATAACATCCATTCTGGGAGGAGTTGAAGGATGTTAGTGAATGAAATGCGTGCCTTAAGGAAGTATTTTAGTGCCCAGTTTATTAAAACTCCTATAACCCCTGCAAAGTGCAAACAACAAAAAAAACCCCATGTTTTTGTCCCATCCACTCTGGGTAATACTAGACCAGGGGTCTTCAAACTTGGCCCTTTTATGACTTGTGGACTTCAACTCCCAGAATTCCTCAGCCAAGCATGCTGGCTGAGGAATTATGGGAGTTGAAGTCTACAAGTCATAAAAGGGCCAAATTTGAAGACCCCTGTTTATACTTACCCAGAAGAAAGATGAAAGCTCCTGATTTTCTCTGTCACAAAGCCATCTTCTTCCACTGTCTAAACACTTGGGACTTAGCAACCCTTCTTTGCCCTATCAAGAATCAAGGCAATATTGCTTTAACATAAATCCATCACGATGATCTTAAGTTTTACTTCTTAGCATGTGAACGAAAAGTCCTGAAGGGAATGTCTCTTTCCCCTTAAGTGGACTAAATACAGGAAAGGAAGGTGATCAAAATCTGAAGAAAGAAATTAACAATATTTTATAATATTCTGATGTCAGAAATCATTTGCCCATAAAAGCATAGGTTACAGATGAAAACTTCTGGGAGAATGTATTATCTGGTGTTTAGGGGTTATTTTCTATGATATTCCAGAGGTGGTCCCCTTTCCTACCATCAGAATTGGTATGTTCCACATCATCATGATATACAAATTGCCCTGAATAGGCCAGGATGCTATTGCTGAACTAAGAAAAGGTAGGAAAGAAAATTGATGGAGGTGGGGTGCAACTAGTGGCAGAGAACAAAAACTTGGCCAAAGTGAGAGAACAGCCTTGGTATTTCTTTTATGAAATAGATTGATAAACAGACTTGGTGAAAAGATAAGAGGCAAAAAAGAAGATGAAGCAAAGATGAATGTTGGGTTTTAGCCCTTCAGATAAAAGCATGAAAAAGGTGTCCTTATTCCATCATTAATTTTAATTAGGCAGCAAAGCAAATGAGACTGATTTTATTTTCAAGAATATTGTATATATTGAGGAATAAGCCAATAATTATAGGTTCCAAAATACATCCCACAAATTGAGTTCAGCTTAACTCAGAACCAGAATTTAGATTTTTAAAACAGTTTGTCATGGACTTAAAACTGCACAGTTTTATAAACGAATGCAACAGTTTGCAGTTTCCCACCTGTCAGCAGGGTTAAAAAATTGAGGGTCAGCTAACCAGAGGTTAATGGTATTTAGGTAGAAATTTAGCGGGTTGGCTTATCCATGGTTGGGCTTATCCATCATTATCTGTAATACTTCTCAGCTGCTTGCCATGAGTTTAACATGAAGGAGGGAGATGAGAAAGAGTTGTGGTGGCTGACCTCTGTGTTTGCCTCCCAGGATTGTCACTACATTTGGGAGAATAATAAGTGCTCTCCCATGGGGCTATTTTTTGTTTTGGGGAGGGAGAATTCATGGTAGAACAGGTGCAGAGACATGGTTAGGATGTTGGACAAGAGCTGGAAGACCCGGGTTCAAGATTATGCCTCATGGATGGTAAGTCATAGTAGCTTCCTCTCCATCATGATCTCTTGCAATATTGGGGTGGGTGGATGGGTGGGAGATGAGAAAAACCAGCACAAAGGTGTGTAGAGATTCCCAGAGAAAATAGCTAGAGATTAAACCATCAATACTAATATAATACTTCTGTCAGTCCTGGAATGGAGAAAGGGGACAATTGTAACCGCAGCATTGGGTCCATATGGTTGAAGCCCGATATGGCCTTATAAAATGGAACTGGAGGAATACTTTTCTAAACAATGCATTTTTTCCTACCACATATCACCCTGGAATTTGCTTGCATAGCTTAGATGGCTTTAAAACATGATTCATCTAATTGATAGGAAAGTAAACTTTATCAAATGAGTGGTTAGAAAAATAAAACCTCTCTGTTCAGTGGCAAGGCACTTGAGGGCCAGCCACATAAGGGGTATGCTGGCTGCAATTGTATTTTCCTTCATGTTTTGGCTGTGGGTTTTGGGGTTTTTTTTTTGGAAGAAACCAGAATTTTATTGGGGAACCCCCCTCTTAGTGTAAAACTGGTGTTTGAGCAACAGAAAGTTAAACAGGAAAGCAGTTAGGGATTATATTTTCAGAGTGCTCTGCCGGTTACCAGGACAGAGATTGAAGGAACTGGTTCCTGCTTTTGGGAAGGTGTTGCTTGCAGGTGGAGCTGTTGGTTGAAACATTTAAGCAGTGTCTTTGCTCATCATATAAATTGTAAAAAAAAATAAAATGCAAATATTGCCTTGGATGTCCTTCTTCTAAAGAAAATAAAATCTAGTTGATAAATAATGTATCCCTGAGTTTCTTATTGCTCAGGAGGAGCAGAGTTGAAACTGGAATATGTGAACAAGCCAAAATGATAATTTCCAAAAGAGTAACCAGGATGCTCTGTTGCAACTGAA